TCTATATTTAGAAACCCAAAAATAGTTTGGGTAAATTTAAGAATTTTATAATATTAAAAATATCTTATATTTATCCTTATTATCACCTATAATCATGCTCTTAGCATCACATTCACAACCTTAAACTTTTTTTTTTGTCATCTGGAATTTTTGATTCATTCATTGTGTTACACAACCTTATCTAATACAAAAACTGTAAAGGACTAATCTTTTACGCGGACTAAGCCAGCGAGGACAAAGAGTCCCGCTAGAGCCAGAAGATCATACCAAGCAAATTACACAATTAAAACTACACTTAAAAGACCATGAAAGACATAGGCCAAGCTATTGCCGTAATAGCAATCTGAACCAAATGAGCCAAACCCCATCCCACCGGACTCCCAGGCTCTCCGAAAAAATGACGAGCGAAACGCAAACTGATTTAATATCTTGAGAAGATACCCAAAGAAAAGAGACTCCAACAATACCACTGCAAGGGACAATCTCTACCACATCAAGATATCAAAACCAGAGCCCGACAACCTATTTGGTGAGTACCGTGGAGAGACAAACGCCAAGCCCAAAGATCCAAAAACCATCAACTGCAAAAACGTAGAAGAATGCAGCGAAGAAGCTTAACAGACGCGACAAGGAAAGAAGCTGACAAACCATTCCGGTAATTCAAGGCAAGCAACACTCCATCTAAATCAAACGACCCAGACCGAGAGATCACGAACCAAAAAATCACCACCAAGCCAAATGATGATAAACTTAGGACTAGTGTTGAAGACGAGTACGCAAACCATAGCGAGAGCAGCTATGCCGCACCATCAAGAGGCTCAAGAGACCAATGTATTTGGCGCTACCGATTCCACATACCCCAACACTCCGACCCAGAATAAAATCACCACCGACTCAGAACCGGAACAAGCATGAACCAACCTCAAACCCAAGGAATTAAAGCAGAAACTGCGTGCCAAGATAACGCCTCAAAACACCACGAAGCATTTGAGTGGCTAACACGAACCACCAAGACCAGAGACCTGTTAAGAACCGACGGCACTACAACTACCTCAACATTTTACAAAGCTATTAAAGCAAGAGAAAACATTAGCCATCTAAAAGAGGAAGACAAAACACGATGTAGAAAACTAGATCTAAACAAAACCAGATCTGAAATCCTCTAAAGACAAACAAACTCGACAACAAGGAAAAAAGAAAAACAATGAACTACAATAGAGCTACCGTTCCGGCGTTAACGGAGCCGCCAGAGCTCCAACTACCGGCAAAAGCTTCTTTGAGTTTAGAGAGACTTTAGGGAGAGAAAAGAGAGGTATTTTTTTTTCTATGCTGCCTTAAACTTTTTTATCGATTTCTTTTACAGAACAAAATACACAAAAGCTTATTATATTTTTTAAAACACCGTCCCGGTGTTCGATGGCCATGTCGTAGACTCGTAGTGGGCAAGCTATTGCTGGTCGTGGGTTTGTTATCCCCCATTGGTCCGAGACAGCTAGATTCATGACCTAGGGTTCATTTATCGAGTAATATATAGTTTATGGTAAGGTTTTCGTGCCCCCATACTATACATTATTCGTTGTGTTTATTAGGATGTTCACCCCCAAAATATATAAATAAACACTCAAATCAATTCTGAACCAAAACTAAACCTAACCAAATCTATAAAACTCAACGATGCAGATTTTCCCATTCTTTAAAGCAAAAAATTAATTGCTACGACAATGATCTCACCAGAGCCATCTCAAGTTTTTGTAAGGTTCTAGGCAAATTTTGGACTCTTTT